ACAGAGAAAAAGTTTTTTGAAGACCAAATTTTTTAAAATAAACCAATCTCTATGTGCAAGATAACCAAAGCAATAAGAAATTAAAAAAAGAAAAAAAGAAAAAGAAAAACACCAGGACCAGATGTGATTCCTTTAGAATTTTATAAGATTTATGAAGACAAGGTGACATTACTATTGAAAAACGTAATAAATAACATCATGGATAAAGGACAAATGAGCTTCTTTGAAAGAAGCTCAAATTACACTAATACATAAACAAGGGACAGAGAAAAATGAAATAAAAAACTACAGCCCAATATCCCTACTAAATGTTGATTATAAAATATATACATATATCCTGCCTGGAAGGTTAAGGAGGGTACTATTACAAGTTATACACAAAGATCAAGCAGGTTTCTTACCAAAGAGACAGATTAAAAACAATGTAAGACCAATATTGGACGTCTTGAAATTCTACGAACAACAGCCAGAAAAGAGGATGGCCTTGATATTTATCGACGCAGAAAAAGCCTTCGATAACATAAATTGGAATTTTCTGCTGGAAAAACTAAAAAGATGGGAGGGTGGAAAACATTTTTTAATAATGATCAGAGCAATTTATGATAAGCAGCTGGCCAAGATAACAATAAACGGAGACTTAACTCAGAATATAGAAATCCAAAAAGGTACAAAACAAGGTTGCTCATTGTCACCTTTATTGTTTATTTTTGCTTTAGAAACTTTATTAGATCAGGTTAGGGAGAAAAAAGAAATTAAAGGACTGCAAATAAAAGGTGAACAATTTAAAGTCCAGGCATTTGCAGATGATATGACCTTCATATTAGACGGCCCACAACCATCTTTAGGACAATTTTTGAATACTGTGTATGAATAGGGCAAAGTGGCAGGCCTCAAGGTAAATAAAAATAAAACCAATATACTATTGAAAAACTGTGAAGAAAAATTGAGGACGCAACTACAAGAAATCTCTGGATTTGAAGTCTGCAAAAAAGTACAATATTTAGGAATTTTGATGACTAACAGATGCCGTTCCCTATTTAATGATAATTATAAGAAATTAATTGCAGAAATTAAGAAGGATTTAAAAACCTGGAAAACTTTACAGTTCTTGCTATTTGGAAGAATAGCAACTGTAAAAATGAACGTGTTACCACATATATTATTTCTTTTTCAAACAATCCCCATCTTGAGAAATCAAATCTTTTTAAAAAGCTTGAAAAACGTATAAAAGAATATATGGCAACAGAAGAGACCAAGGATAAAGCTAACATATCTCCAAGAAAGGAAAGAAAGAGGAGGGTTAGCCCTACCAGATTGGTCCATTTATTGTAGAGTGGCAGCAATGTCTTGGATAAAGGAATGGATTACTTTGGAAGATGTAAGATTACTAAAACTCGAAGTCCATGATCTTTTGATGGGTTGGCACCAAGGCTCCCTCTAAGCTGTGGAGTCCTGTGAGCAAAAATTCTACTTGGTGACCTCCTGGCATTAAAGTTGTGAGCAAGCAATTTGGCTGCTGCATGAATTAGTTTGCTCTGGAGCCATCCTTTCTGAGCTAAGACAAAAATCTGTGACCCGGAGGATAAAAAACTGTGAGCTAGCTCACACTAACTCAGCTTAGAGGGAACACTGGTTGGCATGCATACCTTTGATACAACAAAGCGTCTCTACATAGTTACTTTAAACAGCATACAATTAGAGGTGCACTATATAAAACATGGGGAGAGATAAAGGAAAAATACTATATAAAACCCCCCAGGTGGGTATCACCCATGGAAGCTTTTGTAAAACCCTCTCTATATGTTAAATACGCTAAGTGGAGATATGAAGATCTTCTTGATAGCAATGGAAATCTGATTCCAGAAAATACTTTAAAAAATCAAGATACAAATATGACCTGGTGGGAGAAAATGCAATTAGCATCGAGGTGGTCAAAAGACAAGAAAATAGGGTTTTATGAAAATCAGACTGAATTAGACAGGATATGGCTTGGCACCAATTAAAAATTTATAAGAAAAGCTTACAATTTTTGGCTCGAATGGAAAATGCAAGATGAATAGGTAAAACCCTCAATGATAGCTTGGGCTCCAGACCTAGGATATAATTTAGACCTAGATCAATGGGACAAGATATGGTCAAAAAATATAAAATTTGTTCTAACAAGTGCCTTTAAAGAAAATATTGTGAAAATGTTTTATAGATGGCACATCTCCCCAGTAAGACTTAATAAATTTAATAAAAATATAGGAAAAAATTGTTGTAAGTGTAAATACTGTAATGGTACTTATTTCCATATGTGGTGGTTATGTAAAAAAGCAAAAAAAAAAAAAGGATTATGATAAATAAAATTATCGAGGAGATATTAGTAATAAAAATACCATTGACGCCAGAATGCTTCTTTTAAATATTATACCTGACACCGTCAAAAAACATGAGTTATACTTAATTATGCAAATTTTGACTGCAGCAAGGATTATATTTGCCAAAAGATGGAAAGACGAAAATGTACCAACCAAGGAAGAATTTTTCTATAAACTATTTGATGTAGCAGAGATGGAGAAACTAACATTTATTATACAAGAAAAAAATGACGAGGTATTTGATAAATACTGGCATTGTTTTTATAGATGGTTAAAGGAAACAAAATTTGGTTAAATTTATGAAGGTAGTAAATTGATAGATAGCTTTGAATTATTTGTAAATTTATACTGGCTAATATCTGAATGTAGTGCAAGTAATATATGTATGTTTATATTTTATGAAGTGTGAAATCTCTGTAACCAATGTAAATGAGCAGAAGACAGAAACCTTTGCAATTCTAAAAATAATAAAAATAATATTTAAAAAAGATTTAAAAAATTGCAGTAAATCAATTAAGAATAGTTTAAAGAGATATGAAGCCAACACACACCCTTGTTTAACGGCTTTAAAAACAAGCATTTTTCTAGTTAAATGGCCTTTTGAAGAATATTTTACCTGACAAGTTGTATCTGTGTGTAATTTCTTTAATAAGATTAACAAAAGGGGATCTATCTTTTGGTCAGCTAATTTGCTCCATAGCTTATTTCTATCCACTGAGTTGAAGGCACCCTTCAGATCAATAAAGGCTACATAAAGTTTCTTCTTTCCTATGTTCATATATTTGTCAGCTAAAAAAGTCCAGCTGAGATGTAACAACAGATTGTGGTTAAGTCAAATGTCAATCTGAGCTCCAGATGTGGAGAGGAGAAAGGAGGGAGGGAATGTGTGCATGAGCCCAAAGATTTCAGGCTCATTTATGGCACAAGTACACTGTAGTTTGTTGGTGAAACCTGAATACAGATCTGAAGTTGAATGAATAAGGTAACTCTAAAATGTGAGACTGACTGGTATCATGTGACTTGCATGACATATCCAGGCCTGGGTGCTTGCTGCTGTTCAACAGCAGTCACCCCACTCCAGCATGATGTAATAGTTAGGAGCTGGCAGACCCAGGTTTGAATCCCTACTCTGGTCTGAAAGCTCACTGGGTGACTTTAGGCCAGCCGTTCCCTTTCAGTCTAACCTTCTTCACAGGGTTGTAAGAATAAAATGAATGTCAGGACAATGATGTAAATTGCTTTGGGTCCCCCCTGGGGAGAAAGATGGGGGTATAAATGAAGTAAATAGATAATAAATAAATATAGCTGAAGATAAAATGTAAGTAGGTTGATGGGTAGGAAGGACAGAAGGAAACAGGAAAGTTGAAGATATAGGGGTTGCCAGGAGGAGAGAAATAATGGGGGATAAGATGCAGGTAGGGTTGCCAGCAATGTTCCCTCTAAGCTGTGGAGTCCCGTGAGCAAAAATTCCACTTTGTGAGCTACTGGCATTAAAGTTCTGAGCAAGCGATTTAGCTACTGCATCAATTAGTTTGCTCTGGAGCCATCCTTCCTGAGCTAAGACAAAAATGTGTGAGCTGGAGGCTAAAGAACTGTGAGCTAGCTCACACTAACTCAGCTTAGAGGGAACACTGGTTGCCAGATGCTTCCTGGCAGCCGCCTGGGGCTCATGGGTCAGTTCCTGTGGATTCCCAGTGGTGTGCAGTTCCTGGATCGTCTGCCATGCGCATGAAGTGTGCATGGCACGATGTCATCACTTGAAGTGACGTCATTGTGCCACTGATGTTGGGGTGGTGACGCTCTGGGGTGGGGTTTTTTTGGCAAAACTCTATGGTTTGTAAGCAATTTTACCATAGAGTTTTGCCCCGAAACTAGAGCATTGCCATGTGATGTTGGCAACTTCCAGGTGATGTCATCATACCACCATTTAGGCTACTTGGGAGTGGGACTTTCCCCGCTGGCCAGCTGGCCGGTGGTGGGGAAAACCCCCACCAAAGCAGGGGTATCCCCCTCAGCAGGGGTCTAACAACCCTAGATGCAGGGGGAAATAAAGTGCTCACTGCAAATCCTTGTACTGCAATTCAGCCTGGCCCAGTGACTTGAGTATCATTTCTCCCAATAAAGAAATCTCAAATGAGGGTGTCTTTCAAATGCCTCCTTAGACTATAAGAAACTGAAATCCTCCATTTTTTTCTGAGAAGTGATATTTTATTAGTGTGTAAGAGTAAACCTGTTTAATTAAAAAAGTAAGTGAAATGACAAATGCCGTGTGGGTGTTTCAGAATGTATAGTAAATTGGAGTATTCCCAAAGATAAGTGGCATAAGGAACAGAGAAGCAGCAACTCCTGTCTCTTTTTCCTTGTTTATATCATACAATAGTGTAGAGGGTAAGAATGTGAGCTGGGAAGTCTGCCAGTGAATCACATTCACTACATTGTCAATGTTTCTTGGTCTTAACCTTCAATATACAATGTGAGGAAAACACTGACTGGTCATATTGGTTATGTAAGCATTACAGAATTTAAAAAACTGCTTCAATTTAATCTTTTCCATTATTACCATGGAGTGATTTTATTGCTTAGTTCTGAATGTGAAGCCTGCTGATATTGATCATTATTCTCATTTCCCTCCAACTCTAGGTAGAGATTACAAACGATGTGCAGTCCTTGTTACTCATCATGCTGGCTGTCATGTTAGCCAAGGTGGTCGGCGATTGGTTTAACATGTCTCTGTACAGTTCTTTACTCAAGCTCAAATGTATCCCCTACTTAGACGCTGAGCCATTTGTCTGTCATAAGAAAAACTGGTGAGTTAATGTGATCTTTCCCATGAGTGCTGGGCACTGTCTCACAGTGACAGAAAACTATTGCCTAGACTGAACTTCAGTCTATAAGACATCTTGCATTTTCAAGGCGAAACAGATGGCTTATATTCAGTGGCAAGTTAGCAACCACAAGTGAAAGAGAGCTCACAGGATGGTACCTTGCTGCTCTCCCCCCTCCCAGTGTACCCTACTTTGTCTCCCCAAATATCATCCCTGGATTTCAGGGTATCCACAGAAACAGCACTGGGCACAATGGGGTGGTCTACAGTGGAACGGAAGAATCAGCTGAAATCACCTTCCCCCCCTTTGCTGGTGGAGGTGTCTTCTTGATGATAGAAAGCAAATTAGCATACAAATAAAGGAGTTAACTAACACAAGCTAAATCACTCTGTTTTCACTTATACCCAGAATTAAACTTTGTTGGTCTTGAAGGTGCCACTGGACTCAGAGTATGTTCTGTAGTATCATGTACTCCTTCCTTAGTATCTGACTCATAGAATATCAAAATCCCAGCAGCTGCTGAAGCAAGAATCTGCCTCGGAACAACCGGTTGTTCTTTGCAGCTTCTTATTCTCTATCCCTGCTGTTGACTTTGGTGTGCTTGTGTTTCTGTGTGTTGAAAAGCATCACAAACCAAATCACTTACTGCACTCATTTTGAAGAAGGAAACTCATGGAAGCAGCATATGGAAATAATATTTCTTGTTTCCGACTTCTGGAGTGCTTATGTATCATCCGTTCTTCTGCAGGCCTTTATATATAACATACAGAGGATGAATGACTTCCTGCTGAGAGGGAAACAGAATAGTTCTACTGGCTAGAAAGAGGCTTCTTTGGCCCATCTATTGGAGCCGTAACTTTTGGTTTGCATTGATCCCTGTTCAGCTCTCAGATGCGGTAGCTAGCAGGTGGAACACACAGTGAGTGGAGCTGCTGGATGGGATATTCAGCTAATTAGTTAGGGCTGCTCTAATATCTGGCTACCAGCTGGCAGACAGAAAAAATTACTGAGGTCTTCCACTTAAAAGCAACCCAGCAATCCAGCTGCGTCAGTGCCGTAAATTTTCGAACTGACCTACTTTCATGGAGACTTCTTTAGAAATGTTGAGCACAGTCTCTCTGTTTGTGGCATTTACAGGTTGTGCTGTCTGCCAAAGGAAATGGCAGCTAGGGATAATCAATATATACAATCCATACATTCACCCCCCCCCCCCAGTAAAATAAAATAAATATATGCAATGCATGCATCAGTTAATCAATGTGTACATTTTATATGAACCCTCTACAAAAATTTTAGTTCAAGAAATGGTTGTCAGAATCAAGATCAACCTTCTGGAAAGCTCACAGAAGTGAGTTGATGGCTACCAAGTGGCTGCATTGTGGCTGCTTTAAATCTGACTGTATGGTGACTCTGTGTTACAACATGGTTGTATGTAGCAGCTCACCATGAAGAGACTCCTATCCTCCTCCTTGGGATTCAAATTGACCGCATGTTTAGATTGCAATGATGAAGGTTCTTTGAGGTAAGCCAAGCATGTGAGAGGACATGCTTGTTTTTCAAGTATTAATAGCAGACAGATTTATTTATTTACTAAATGTTTATACCCTGCTTTCTTCCCCACTGGGGACCCAATGTGGCTTACACCATTGTTCTCCCCCCTTCATTTTATCCTAATGATTATATGAGGTAGGTGAGGCTGAGAGAAAGGCCAAGATCACCCTGCAAACTTCCTAGGCCGAGTGGGGGTATGAACCTGGCTAGTCCAGATCCTAGTACAACATTCATATCAGAGCCATGGCATGGGGAGAAGAGAGGGAATTCAACTCTTTCCTCCATTCTATTGCACTGGTTTGAGAGCTTTTATTTGTACTGCAGAGGAAAAGTGTATGCGCTGCAGAGGGTATGCAAGTCAAGGGCACCTGAATTCTTTTTCTGCATGAGGCACAGCATAGAACTGGAGTGGAAAGGAATTTTAATTGAGGAAATAGTATGGGAGAAATGGTTAAACCTTCTTTCACCTCTCCAGACTTATTTACCCCCTCCCCAGCTGTCAACACATGGAAAAAATGTGAGAAATCTGTTCTCATCTCTTTGGCCCTAACAGTTTATATTGGTGTTTTGTTGCTCTGTCATGTTACCTAAAAACAAGTGACTACTTTTGCCACTGTAAAAATATAGATCATGCTATTCAAATTCATACAGCCACAATAATATTTGTATATCTGTGGATTTTTAAAAACTTAAAAAAATGTCACTCTGTGTAGCTACTTTGTAAGTCCTACTGGGTATATAGAGAGAAAGTACACGGTTCTTTGGAATTTGGGTGGTTACTCTTGTTTGAGAGAGAGGAAACAGGCTACGCATTTTTTAAAAATGAATTTTGAATTGTTCTGTTATAGAAATGCATGGGAAGATATCAAATAATGAAACATTCTCCTGTAACTGTTTTAAGATCTGTGCTGGAGATCACTTGGAAACCTTTTTAACAAGTATGTTACAGTAGCCATAATTAATGAACCAGTATGGGCAGGTAGTGAGAGGGTTTAGAACATTAAATAAATGAAAACATAACACTGTAAAACTTCCAGTCCTTTGACTGGTAGAAACCTGGCCCAGGGAAGTTGATTAATATAAAAAACATCTTCTGGATTTTTGAAAGTTGCTTTGATTCTGACTATAACTCTATAAAGAAGCCCTCAACTGAATCAGGGTAACTAACGGCACAATCTTAAACTGAGTTACACCCTTCTAAGACCAGTAATTGCCATGGATGTAGAAGGGGGCATATCTAATTAGGATTATACTGGCCGCATCAAAAGAGAAGCACGGCGGTGGGATCAGACAGATCCCCCGAGCCGCCGCACAGTTGCTCCCCGGCATGATCAGATGCCGGGGGGGAAGCCACAGATGGGTGAGCGAGGCGAGCCCGCTGCGCATGTGTGCACCTGCGTAGTTTGGCAGGGGGCCTCACATGCTGCCGGAGATGGGTGCGCCGGCGATCCCACGGCTTCCCCTGCTGTGGATTTTTTGGTAAGTAGTAGTGTTTTGTAGGGGTTTTTTTGATCCGCACCTTCGGCAGGAAGAGACGATCGGGGACGGGTGCGCACCACTTCCCAGATGTTGCGGTGTGATCGCACCTGCTTGATGCGCCCCCGATCCATCCCTCTCACGGATCAAAGCCTCCCGTGTGACCGCAGCCATTGAAAGCTTTTTTTTTAAAGAGTAGCCTGAAAAGTGCTTCTTTTAAAACCCATTCATTCTTTTTGCTGTTTATGTTCTCAGCAGAGTATGTCTGGAAAGCCACTAGTCATCAGTTTGACGAATAGTGGCTAAACAAATACAATGTTTAAATCCATGTTAGGGAAACAAGTGACACAGACACTAAATTAACCCAAACACATCTTAAACTTAAGTACCCAGCTCTCTGTGTAGCTAAACTTCCATACCTCCATTTGAGCTAGTGCCACAGATTGCCAGGCATTTGCCTTTTTATGTGCCCTTCTTGTTGCTTGGGAGTAACAGTTGAGCCTGCCACTCCTTTGCTCACTGAGTTAATAAGGTGAGCAATGAGATTCTTCTGCAATCAACCAAGAATCAGAATGTACAAATGAATCAGAAGAGTAACCTGGTAGAACCCAAGGACTCAAGATGACCATGGGCAAGGAGATTTCATTAGTGTTTCAAGTCCACACTAAACAAATTATACAACAAAATAAATGGTAAAGCAATTTAAAAATCCTTAACAGGTTTAATTATGGCATGACTAGTTTTAAGAGTCAAGTAACTGTCTAGTATGATTGTCACTTGTGAATGTTCTGTATAATTCACTGATTAAAACAGGTTTGGCTGCTGTGTCTAAATGCTACTGGCAACCATCATGAAAATAAAGTAATCTTGAAAACAAGCTCTTGAAATATATTTATATAAGATCCAATAGTTAGGATAATAAAACAGTGGTTTACAAGAAGTCAGACTAAAAGCGAATGTTGTTCCAATGAAGAAGTCTTTCAGCTACTCCGTGGGTAAACATTCTCACCAAGTGAAGTAAGCTGAGCATGAGGAAAAAACCCACCAAACCCAGAAAGCAAGTCTTCCATCCAGGAATAAAAGTATGGGAATGAGGAGAAACACCTCTTTTGCTGATCTTCATGAGAAAGTCTGTTTAAAGCATACTCTTCAGCAGGGGTCATTTCGTAGAAAAAGAGCTAGGGGGACTCATTAGCATAACTCATTAGCATATGCCACACCCCCTGACATCACCGGAAGTGTGTCCTCCCCACAGCCGGCGGCGACCTCCAGCGGGCACCAGCAGGGAGCTCCAGGCCCCGCCCTCCCGCACCTCACCCGGGGGGATGGCGTCCCCCCGCGTCCCCCCCCAAATGACCCCTGCTCTTCAGGATGAATATTCTCATGGTCTTAAAGACTAGATATATGCTACCACTTCTTGTCATGCTAAGGCCTAGTTCTCAAATAACAGATGAGGTAATAAACCTGTTTCTGGATTTTAAAATGAAGAATTTGTGTTGCTCCATGGGGAGGGGGAAATCTGAAAACAACAACAGTCTAATGTTTTTTTGTTAGGACCAACCAAAGCATCACCAAATAGTGAACCACAAGCTTTTGAGTTCCCCAGATCTCTCCATTGGGCTGGATGTTAAGCACCCGAAAGGGGAGAGGAGGGGAGATATTTCAGGGAATGTTGGAAAAGCCTAGAAGGTCACTATTTGTAGCTTTCTTAAAAGCTGTTTCTGGTCTGTATCAATTCATACTGAAGGTGGTGGTGGTGGTGGGGTTAATATGACTGAAAAGTTCTCCATATGAAAAATTCCCTGCACATAGAAAACTGGCATGTTTGGTAGATGGGGAGGCTAGAACCCTTTCCTAGGCCTTTCAGGGGTCCAGAATCAGCAAGTCACTTGGTGTGCAGTTCCGCAGATAATCTTTCCCCTCTTAAAGTCTTGAGAAAGTTCTTTCCTGTTGGAATGTTTGCCACAAGAATACTTATAGTAACACATAATTTATGCAGTTCGTGGCAGGCAAGTTTGTATTTATTCCCCCACAATTTCAAACTGTCAGTTTTGGAGCTCTTCATAGTGTTAAATTAACTTCTGGCAACAATTTTACTACAATACATGCTGTCTAGATCACATCTATAGTATTCTTTCAGATAATACTAAAGTCTCCAGGCTTCTTTCCTTTTCTAGTCCTGGCTGAGCTCACTTGAAAAAGTGGTGAGGTGGGCTGTGGTGGGCTGCCAGCCATGCCATGCTGGTGAAGTCACTGGAAAAAGAATTCCTACATGCCTTTCTTTCTCAGGCGAGCCTCCTAGGACCTTCTCTCACTGACCTGATAGTTTCCCCATCTGGTTTCATTGGTTCCCATTTGCTGAGGTGGAACTTAGTGTTGGAAGTGAAGGACTTTGTGTTGTCTCTTAGCCTCTGACTTCAGAGGGGGTCTATAAGAGAGTCAGAGAGATAGATAGGCCTTTCTACTACTCTGATGCTATCCCTTTGATGTGTAGATTGCTACTTTCAGGGAATTTTCCTTCCTTTCGCCCTGACACCTTCTCTCCACACTATGCTAGCCTTCTCCATCTTGGCACCATGACAGCAGGACATGCTTCCTGCATCTCTATCCATCCTAGCTAGTTAGACTTGTTAGCCAAATTGGGGAATTAGTTAATAAGCTTGGGGGAATTATGAATATTAAATGGCAATAGGCATAAAATATAGGATCATAACCTGTCTATATGGGAGTCAGAATTCCAAGAGCCCTTGAATAGATGCAGAGACTGTGTAGCTAAAATAACGATTTCTTTACTAAAGGTTCTTCAAGCATACAAATAATAATCAAACATTCACAATACACAATTCAAAACAAAAAATATAGAGCTGAAAGGATAGAGACATTTGCATGAGCAGGAATATCATTGGTGGGGTAATACTTTACCTGTCTGACAAGACGCTTGGATCATGCAGCGAAAAATAAAAACACAATGAGGGGGAAGAGATCGTGAGTAGACCAGCAACACATGTGGGCTGATTCCAAACAGGCCTAGATTTGGAACCATACAAGGTAGGATGGGGTTAGGAGAGGAAGAGGCAAAAGACAAGAGAGAGAGTGCTCAGGGAGGGCTCTACTTAAATACCTAAAATCTGACCTAAGGCAAAAAGGCCCATGTGGTCCCCTGGTCCCCAGGAAGTACTAGAAAACTTAACCTCTGGATGGGCCATAAAGGAATTAATAGCTGGGGAACTGAAAATTAATGGTTGGCAGGGAGTGACACCTCTGGGGGAAGGGGGTTAGACAAAGGAGAGAAGGAAAAGAACCAATCACATTGCAGAGCCAGTGCTTTGGATTAATGATCAGATGCTTGACAGCTGTGTTATCTTGATGGGTGACAGGAAGACTGGATTGATGCTATTGTCTGTCGCTGGGCACATCCTTTTGTCTTAGGCTAGCTCAGGAGGGAGAGGAATGTGTGTTGTTCCAGGTGAAGTTAACACACATAGGTGTGTGGGGGGAATGCTTGCGTGATGGAGAAGATGTTCTCTCATGGGTTCTGTTCAGGAACATCTGTCCTTTATCAAGCTTCTTTTCTGATCTGCTGCTGTTCCTGCGTGCATGGAGGTCAGGGCTGCTGGTCTGCATCCAGGTGCTTGGAGTGGATTCAGGAGTTCAGTGGCAGAAGGCTTCTGTAGTCCCAGGTCCTCATCTGACTTAGCATACTACTTAGGCTCAAGACTCCCCTTGGTCACAGTGTACTTTCCATAGTCCAGCATAGGGCACTTCTCTTGGGGAACATAGCTCTGTCCATTGTCTTGGCACACACTTTTCACAGTTCAGTAAGGCAGTCATATTACAGAGTCTTTAATATGCCATTTAAGGTGGCTGCATGGCAACAGACTAGATTAGAATCCCGTCTCTACTTGATTCTGTCTAGAATGGAGATCCTTAAAATAAAGCATACACAAACTAGATAGACTCTGCTGCGTTATTGTCTTTGAGCACTCCGCTAACCAAAAAATCCTTCACTTGGCAGGGAGAAGAAAGTATTTCTATTTAAATCCACCACTACGAACAACTGTTAAGTTAAACATACCGGAAAACAAATACTTAAAAACAACTAAACTGGTCTATATATTTGAGTAGGCATGCCAAAGACATGAATCCCTTGATCCACTTATATTAATAACCCTGCAATATTATGAGATATACAAAAGTAATAACGATAAATGCTTCTAAAATATGTTTAAGCATAAAAACATCTAAAAGTAGTCTTTTGAACTGTGCCTCCTTACTAAAATCTTTGCCTCTCCACCACTGATATGACTGCAGGCTTCTGAGGGCAGTAGATAGGAGACAGTCGGAGAATGGTGCCCAAGGAAGCCACTGGTCACCTAGCATGAGGTAACCTGTGCTAGTGATATGACTGCTGAGTTGTGTTCATCACTGTGCCAGAGTACAGTCCATGCAACACTAGCACAGGATAAGTTTTGTATTTCTTATCTTCATCAGTGACTATAGCCAGAGGCAAAATGTTGATGTTCTGAGCTATGTTAGCCATTCTCACTTAACTGGGAATGCCTTTTTTTTTTACTTCTCCTTTCTCCACGCAGAACTTTTGCTGTCCTGAATGTGATGTTCTAAGGATTTCATTTTCAGTTAGGACTTGAAAAACCAAAAGCTTAAAAAGTCATAGAAGCTGGTTAAGAGTTCTTCTCCTGTCCTAGAAAACCAATACTTGCATCTGGTTAAATTTATCATACCCCTTACTCATAAGTAGGAAGGCCATGTTTGATAATGTGTTTATTGGTTAATTACATTTTCAATAAAATATTCTCAAATAAAACTAATTCATTTGCAGCTTGAAGTAATTCACTAACACATTATAAAGTCATCAAATGCTAACGTGGTACAGCACGCCTTGCTTCCTGTTTACTAAATATATTGTTGGATGTCTGCTTTCTGTCTTTCAGGATAAATTTGGAATTGTTTGCAGCCAGCGATGTCATGAAGCCTAGTGTCAAAGTCCTCCATTTAAAGGAAAACGTTGCTTTCTTGGCCCAGCTCCTTACCAACACCTGCCATAGTGGATTCCCAGTGGTGTGCAAATCTAAGCCAGATCAGGCAGAGGTATTCCTGGGAACAATTACACGGTGAGATACAGCTATGTTATTCCTTGCAGATCTGTGTGCCCTTGGGCTAGAACAACAGTTGTAATGTACTGCATTATGAAAGTGCAAATCTTGAACCAGAGGCTTTGAGATATTTAGCAATTTTCTCTTTTTATGGTTTGAAACAACTGTACGTGTATGTTTACCCACTGTTGTATCTATGGATCTCTACATATTCCTCATCATTAATATTTTATCAGTAACTAGTAGTACATTTGGATGTTAAGTAATCCAACTACAAAATGAGAAGTGTCTACTTATTAATGTAATTACTATAATCCAAACTGAAACATAAAAGACAGTTGATATTATTTGGAAATCTTAGATTCTGTTATTCTAACATATGGCTGTTTGGTTTGGAGTCCAAGAAGGTCAGGGTGAAGTGGGAGTGTGACGAGAGAACAACTCACCAGATAAGTAACAGATACACACAGTTGCATAGATCTTGCCACTGAAGGGCATGGCTCCGATAGGTTGCCTTTTCAAGGTGTTTTGCTGGTTCACTGACAAAAGAAGAAGGAGTGATTTTGCCCTCTTCTCTCTTTTTACTGCAGCCCTGTTCATCAGAATCCCATGGCTTCCACACAGGCTTTGAGACTCTAGGAAATATCTTTTGTTTTTTTGGGGGGGGAGGAAATTGAAAGGGAAAATTGCCAAGCAGCAATTGGGCAGCTTCTCTCAGAAGTGTATATGCATTACAATTAGCAACGCAGGAAGAAATCACAGTGCCCAAGTAGGCACAGCTCATTGCCCCCCAAGCCGGAATAAAGAGGCGGACACGAGTGTTGGGTTAACTATAGGGCCACTTTATTAACAATCAACTTAAACTGGGACTAACGGCAAGGGCAATACATTTTGTGGTATGGGTTAGGCCAGAGGTCAAACAACCCCTCCCTTGTCCTGTGAAATAGGGTGAGCCATCCTGCCCCGAGCGAGAGCCAACTGCCACGGCTCCCACCCAGCCGGCTAGCTGTTGTAGGACAGCCTCATAGGCCCAACCTCCAGGCCACATGGCCCAAAGGGAGGACCAATCAGGGCTGTCCTAAAGGCAGTCTGCTTTCCCCGCCCCGTGCCGCCTGGCACAAAGACTGTACTCACTTGACCCCTTCATCCCCAAAGAAAAGGGGTGTCAGCTGGTGCTCACCAGACCACAACCTGTCTCAGCATAAAAACCCTGCCCAACCATAAGTGACCAACCTAACTAACACAGATCCAACCTTACAATAACTGTGCACCACTGTTGCAGTACACGGTAGGCAAAAACACCCTCTCCAAGGTTCCAATCAGGAAGGGGCGAAAAATTCCTACCCGGCCCCCAAAACTGGGCAACCAGCCAAAGCCTGAACTACAAACAGTGCGGGAGGGTGGGATGAACTTTGCCGCAGAACTGCGGCCACGGAGGGCGGGGGCCAATTTAAAAGCTCCTTGGCCTCACCTCCCCTGCAGCACGTTGCCGCAACTTAACATCCTGCCTCACCAGCTGGGCAGCAAAGACATCTCACCATCCCCACGGCTACAAGGGCCGGGGGCTGTTCGAAACAGATTTTACAGATTATGGAACTCCATGTACCATGTAATTGAGTGTTCGGGAAAGGAGAAAAAGCTTACACAGCAATGTCAGCAGTTGGGTGGTGACACTGAAAACTACATCCTGTCCTGACCCTTGTATGCCAGTACCAAGATCACACTACTTCTCTTAAATGGGATGCCTGCTGTCCAATAGCTTTAAAAAAATATTTATCATTATATGGCTTGTCTGCTATGCTACCTAATGTCATGAGTGGCCAAATGCCTCCCTTTGCCTGCTTTTACAAGATTTTCCATAAAACAGTGACACTTTTTTAATTGATCTGAAATTTGACAGGAAGGATCCCTTGGGGGAATAAGTAGTAACTGTAAGAATCTCATCTCAGTGAGATGGAGAGAAGAGCCAAAACTGTATTTCACATCAGAACCAATGGGAATGAAAAAGCAAACTAACTTAATAACCAAAACTAATAGTTTTACTCATAAATTTAGTGAAAGAAAATGATCCCCAAACAATCTTTTTTGTGCACATCTCTGAATCCCACTGGTGGACCTCTCTGAATCCCACTGGTGGACCTCTCTGAATCCCACTGGTGGACCTCCTGATGGCACTGGTATTTCTGGCCACTGTGGGACACAGAGTGTTGGACTGGATGGGCCTTTGGCCTGATCCAACATTGGCGTCTCTTATGTTCTTAATCAGGCAAAAGCTTCAAGACACTTTGAAGTTTACTAGAAATCTTTGTAGAAAAACGTACCTGATCAAATTGATCATAAAATTGAGATAGTTACCTGGAAAGAAAAAATCAACAGCGGCCTCCCTTTGTTCTTTTACCTGACTGAATCTTTTCAAGATAAAACATGTCACAGTTCAGATGGTATAGCAATGTCTGCAGTGCTTGTGATAGCTTGCTTCGGTAAACAAGAGCCAAAGGAAGCACGCTTCTCCATTAGTAGTGTGTGGGGGGGCAGGGTGTAACAATCAGAGTTCCCTCTAAGCTGAGTTAGTGTGAGCAAGCTCACAGTTTTTTAACCTCTGGCTCACAGATGTTTGTCTTAGCTCATGAAGAATGGCTCTAGAGCAAACTAATTTATGCAGTAGCCAAATCATTTGCTCACAACTTTAATGTCAGTAGCTTACAAAGTAGAATTTTTGCTCACAAGCCTCGCAAACAGAGGGATCATTGGTAACAATACATGTGGGGTTTTTTGGTCTCACAGCATAACTGTTTATAATGACACTGTACAAGACTGTCTTCATTTCCACAAAAACTGATGTTTGTTCTTCAAGTTAGGGTGCAAAAAGCGTGAAGGCAGTTTCGTGGCAAACTTATAAAATGTGCGAAAAATCTTATTCTGGTAAACAGAAATTTTATAAACAACAAAATATTTTCTCTATAATTGCCATGATATAAGCTTGCAAGAACACCATTGCAAAAAAAAATACTCCAAATACTTCAGGGCTCTTTTAAAGGTTTTAATTTATTTTTTAAAGACTTGCTTTTGTGACTTAAACCAAATTTGAATCCAGTGGCACCTTTAAGACCAACAAAGTTTTATTCAAGGTATAAGCTTTCGTGTTGCAAGCACGCTTTGGAAGGCATCCAGCATTTGTAAATACAAAATATTTAATGACAGTAAAAGGACATATAATATGATGAAAAGCCCAACTTTATTTATTTTATTTATTTATTTAAGCATTTCTATCCCGCCCTCCCCGCAAGCAGGCTCAGATTTGATCTTATAATGAAACTTAGCCAGGAGCTGGGATCTCCAGAATGAAAGTTGTTCAGGGGAACCTATTAATAAATGAAACTTGTTGTCTTCTGGTCTATGGATTGGCGATGGCAGACGCTCTCCCCAGAGCTTGGGGAGGCGATTAGCACACCATCGGCATGGAGGGGTGCCACCTCAAGTAGCACTCCCATGGAGCCTTTATGAAAGGCTCCAGGCCAGAGAGCTTTGAGGGATAGCCTCTTTGAAGGCTTGCTGCCGGAGAATTGAGGCTTCTCTTTGCTCTGACGGTCCTACCGATGAGTGGCCTTAGGGCACAAGCTAACCCGACCGGGACAAGCGGGGGAGACCGAGCGGAACAACGATTGATGTGAGCGAAGTCAGGAATGTGACCAACAATGAATGTGAATTCTAAGTAAACAAACTTTGATAAACGGCACCCCCCCTCCCCGTGGGAAAAGCGGAGTGCAAAGAGGGACGCCTCTGAAGTGCAAGGACAGATAAACGCAGCAAAGGGGGAGTGGGAGGAAACAGACAGCGTGTCTATTTTGAGAGACTTACTTGAGTGCAAATAGTGAATTGATGAGTGCTTTGAGCCCAGGAGAAGCGGTTTGAAAGTGTAAACAAAGTTGAAAAATGGCGGCATCCCGAGGAAAGTTTAAAGTGAAGCCTGGTAGTCAGAGTCCGAGGCCAGAAGAGGGAGCTGACATCATGAAGCTGTTAGCGGATATGCTCAAGCCAGTGATGGATCAGCTTGATGGTATTAACCAGCAACTGACTTCGTTAAATCAAAACTTCGCTTCACAACAGCGACAGCTGGCAGAAACGGTAAAAAAAGTGGAGCTGGTGGCTGACAAAGTTACAGAGATGGACACCTCAAGCAAGAAGATGAAGAAAAGAATGGAAAAGGCTAATATGATTCTCAGGTTCCAGGGGGTTCCTGAGACAGAAAAAGAAGATTTGAAGAAGACTCTGGGTGAGATTATCGCTCCAGTGACAGGCTTGCCAGCGGAGGAAATAATAAAAGACATGGAGACAGCTTATAGGGCTTACTCCAATTATATTAAAAAAATAGCCTGCCTGGAAAGATTGTGGTGAGATTTGCAAGAAGACAGACCAGAGATGCTATATTAAAGGCAACTTCAGCAACTCCACTGAAATTTGGGAATACAGTTATCAAGACTTTAAAAGACATTCCATTTGAAATTCATCAGAAGAGAAAGAGCTACAAGGAGTTAATTACTTTTCTTCAAACAAACGGTATACAGTACAGGTGGGTGATTTCTAAAGGTGTCATCTTTAAAATCAACGATAGAAGGGAGAAGATAGACTCCATCTTCAAAGCCAAGGAATTCTTGAGACGCCAGCTGGGATTGGGGGAAGAATCTAAAGAGGAAGAAGCTAAATCAAGTGACTCAGCTGCCTTGGGAACGGATGAGGACTCTGCTACAGAAGTGGGTGCGGAAGCAATGAAAAATGAAAATATGATTTTAGAGACAGAAAGCCGAAGTAAGGGCAGAAGGACTCTGATAAATGGCTCTTTGAAATAAAGAAGATGCTCAGAAAGTTCTCTCATAATAACTAATTTACCAATATAGAACAATGTGAAAAACAAGAACTCTACAAGTATATTGTTTTACTAACTCTTTTAATACTAATATTAAGATTAACATAAAGGGGGTCTCCCACTCTTGGGCTTTTAGTTAGTGTGGGTTTCTTTC